TTTACATAGGGGTGTGTATAGTATCAAGTATATAACATGTGTCACCACCACTCAGGGCTAGAATGCCTTCTTAGCCACGTGATGGTGTATACCTGTAATCCCAGATACTAGGGAGGTTGAGGCAGGAGGATTACCCACCTTTGGAGGCTGCAATGAGCTGTGATCGTGTCACTGCACTCCAGCCTGGGTGACAGAGGGAGACCCGGTCTCTTAAAAACGAAAAAAAAGGCCAGGCGCAGTGGCTCAACCTTGTAATCCCAGCACTTTGGGAGGCCGAGGCGGGTGGATCACGAGGTCAAGAGATCGAGACCATCCTGGTCAACATGGTGAAACCCCGTCTCTACTAAAAATACAAAAAATTAGCTGGGCATGGTGGCACATGCCTGTAATCCCAGCTACTCAGGAGGCTGAGACAAGAGAATTGCCTGAACCCAGGAAGCAGAGGTTGCAGTGAGCCGAGATTGCGCCATTGCACTCCAGCCTGGGTAACAAGAGCAAAACTCCGTCTCAAAAAAAAAAAAAAGACATTTTTTAAAAAAATAAAATAAAATAAAATAAAAAGAAAAATACAAAAAATTAGCTGGGCATGGTGGCGCGTGCCTGTAATCCCAGCTACTCAGGAAGCTGAGGCAGGAGAATTGCCTGAACCCAGGAGGCAGAGGTTGCGGTGAGCCGAGATCGCGCCATTGCACTCCAGCCTGGGTAACAGGAGTGAAACTCCGTCTCAAAAAAAAAAAAAAAAAACGTAGAATAAGTATCTATATACACATACATGTATACATATGAATGCCTTCTTTCCTGGTAGCCCAAGCTATGCTCTTTGTATTCATAGTGACCTTGGTGGAGAGGGTCAGGTGGTAGACAGAGACAGGATCTCTCTCTCCTTGACTTCTAAAACCATCAGGATATTTAAATATTTGTTTCACTGCTATGTTCAGGTGAAAAAAAAAAAGGAAAAAGAAAAGAAAGAAAAAAATTTTTGTAATATTTGTTTTCTACCTGTAGATGTTCTCCAAGTGCTCAGTGGGTCTGAGTCAGGTGACTTTTTGAAAAGCAGTAACCAGGCAGGGGCATGGCGGCTCATGCCTGTAATCCCAGCACTTTGAGAGACCAAGGCAGCCGGATCACCTGAGGTAAGGAGTTCCAGACCAGCCTGGCCAACATGGTGAAACCCCATCTCTACTAAAGATACAAAAATTAGCCAGGCATGGTGGTGGGTGCCTGTAATCCCAGCTACTTGGGAGGCTGAGGCAGGAGAATCACTTGAACCAGGGAGGTGGAGGTTGCAGCGAGCCCAGATCACACCATTGCACTCTATCCTGGGCAACAAGAGCAAAACTCCATCTCAAAAAAAAAAAAAAAAAAAAAAAAGTAACCATTACCAGAAGAAAGATAACGTTTGGACACTTAACTTCATGACATTGACACCTAAAAGGTTTTATTTCCTGCCCCTGGTCACACATTTGGGGTGAATCTTGACCTACACTGGATTTCCACACTGCAGACACGTGCCGGTGGCTCTCAGCCTGCAGTAATGTTTGGCAGGGTCTGTTGTTTTCTTGCTGTACCTGACGGTGTTGAGTTTATCTCACCCAGAAGAGAGTATCCTGAAAATGGATAGGTAACTGGAGTTTTGGGTAGGACAGATTTTTCCAGGTTACCTAAAGACATCATAGAAGTAATGTTCATGGGCCGGGCTCGGTGGCTCAAGCCTGTAATCCCAGCACTTTGGGAGGCTGAGGCGGGTGGATCACGAGGTCAAGAGATCGAGACCATCCTGGTCAACATGGTGAAACCCCGTCTCTACTAAAAATACAAAAAAATTAGCTGGGCATGGTGGCACGTGCCTGTAATCCCAGCTCCTCAGGAGGCTGAGGCAGGAGAATTGCCTGAACCCAGGAGGCGGAGGTTGCGGTGAGCCGAGATCGCGCCATTGCACTCCAGCCTGGGTAACAAGAGTGAAACTCCGTCTCAAAAAAAAAAAAAAAAAAAAGAAGTAATGTTCATGGACGGTGAATAAATTGCCCTGTATTTCAGTGCTTTCCAAACATTTTGGACCCAAGCCTACAGTAAAAAATACATTTCAGGCCTGGCACGGTGGCCCACGCCTGTTATCCCAGCCCTTTGGGAAGCTGATATGAGAGGACTGCTTAAGCCCAGGAATTTGAGACTAGTTTGAGTGAGGCCCTAGCTCTACAAAAAAGTGAAAAAACTAGCCAGGCCCAGTGGTTCACACCTGTAATCCAGCACTTTGGGAGACCAAGGCAGGTGGATCATGAGGTCAAGAATTTGAGACCAGGAGACTGAGGCGGATGGATTACCTGAGGTCAGAAGTTCGAGACCAGTCTGACCAACATGGTGAAACCCCGTCTCAAAAAAAACAAAGAGAATTTGAGACCAACCTGACCAACATGGTGAAAACCTGTCTCTACTAAAAATACAAAAATTAGCCAGGCATGGTGGCACACACCTGTAATCCCAGCTACTCGGGAGGCTGAGGCAGGAGAATCGCTTGAACCCAGGAGGCAGAGGTTGCAGTGAGCCAAGATTGCAGCACTGCACTCCAACCTGGGCCACAGAGCAAGACTCCATCTCAAAAAAAAATGCTGGACATGATGGTGCACATCTGTAGTCCCAGATACTCAGGAAGCTGAGGCAGGAAGATTGCTTGAGCCCAGGAGGTCGAGGCTGCCGTGAGCCATCATGGTGCCACTGTACTTCAGCCTGGGTGACAGAGTGAGATCCTGTCTCAAAAAAAAAAAAAAAAAAACATTGTTTTTTACATCACCCAGTACAATATGCATGTGTACAACTGACCCAAACATTTTGCAAAGCAGTGGCCACTGTTACTACGTGAGATACATTCTGAAATTGTTTCCTAATCCCTTCTTGTGAAAATGCTGGTTGCAACCCACTAAAACTGATTTCACGACTCATTTATAGGTCTTAGCCCACAGTCTGGAAATAGGACACCAATGTAAATATTTTATCAAACCGGATGTTTCCGTTTCAATTTTGCTTATTAGGTCTCTAATGCTGTTTAACTGCCTACATATCACATCGTATATAGTGGACAAAATCTAGTCCCCGTGATAGACATTGAGAGGCAGTTACTGTTCTAGACTCTGGGGGGAAAAGATAGGAAGCCGGACGTGGTGGTTCGTGCCTGTAGTCCAGCTACTGGGGAGGCTGAGGTGGGAGGATCGCTTGAGCCCAGGAGTTCTAGGCTGCAGTGCACTATGCCGATCGGATGTCTGCGCTAAGTTTGGCATCAATATAGTGACCTCCTGGGAGTGGGGGACCACCAGGTTGCCTAAGGAGGGGTGAACCTGCCCAGGTCGGAAACAGAGCAGGTCAAAACTCCCGTGCTGATCAGTAGTGGGATTGTGCCTGCGAATAGCCACTGCACTCCAGCCTGGGCAACATAGCGAGACCCCGTCTCTAAAAATGAGCAAAAGAAAAAGTAGTAAGGAAAATTCGCCTCGGCTTTATGCTTCTACTGCCAGCATCTGGGACGGATAAACTCAAGGTTTTCTGCAAGTTAATGTTTACTGTATGGTGGAATTTTTGAGGGAGTGGGGCAGACATTTTCTTCAGCTCTTTCTTCCCATACACGTTCAAAGTTCTTTGAGTTTTGTTTTTGTTTCCTTCTCGTTGCATCATCTCCTTTCTCTGACTCCTCACAAAGATATTCAGATCCAGGAAACAATTAAATTACCGAAGACTTAAATTACGTACCATCTGGCCGGGCACAGGGGTTCATGCCTTGCAATCCCAGCACTTTGGGAGGCCAAGGCAGGATGATCACTTGAGCCCAGGAGTTTTTCTTTTTTCTTTTTTTTTTTTGAGAAGGAGTCTCACTCTGTCACCCAGGCTGGAGTGCAGTGGCGCAACCTTGGCTCACTGCAACCTCCACTTCCCAGGCTCAAGCAATTCTCCTGCCCAAGTAGCTGGGATTATAGGCGTGCCACCACACCCGGCTAATTTTTGTATTTTTAGTAGAGATGGGGTTTGCCATGTTGGCTAGGCTGGTCTTGAACTCCTGACCTCAGGTGATCTGCCCGCCTCAGCCTCCAGAGTGCTGGGATTACAGGCATGAGCCACTGCGCACAGCCAATCCCAGGAGTTTCATACCATCATGACCCCGTGTCTCAAAGAAATAAATAATAAGCAGGGCATGGTGGTGTGTGCCTATAGTCCCACCTACTTGGGAGACTGAAGTGAGGACTTGCTTGAGCCTGGGAGGCTGTGGCTGCAGTGAGCCATGATCACACCATTGCACTCCAGCCTGGGCCACAGAGCAAGACCGTGTCTCTAAAAAATATGTATATATAATAAAATAAATTACTTAAGATCTGTATCCACCTTTAGTTGTTAGATGTTAGATATTCTCTCAACTAACAACCCCCAGGCCAGCTGTGGTCCCAGATACTCAGGAGGCTGAGGCAGGAGGATTGCTTGAAACCAGGAGGTCAAGGCTGCAGTGAGCCATGGTGGTGCCACTGCACTTCAGCCTGGGTGACAGAGTAAGACCCTGTCCCAAAATAAATAAATAAATCATTTTTAAAATATCATCCAGTACAATATCCACATGTATAACTGACCCAAACATTTTGCAAAACAATAGTCACTGTTATTATATGAGCTACACTCTGAAATTTTTTCCTATCAAGGGACACCAGGACACATTGAGAGCAAAGGACACAAGGGCACACAGGAAGGAAGGAGCAGGGGCAGCGTTGCGGGGGGCAGCGCTGGCTGAGTTCACCGGCTGTTCCTTCCCTCGAGGGCTTTCCGCTAGGCAAGCGGAGGGTGGTGAGAAAGCCAGCTCTGCACCCTGCCCTGTGCCGGCCAGCACTCACCTGGCGCTTTGTACCCTGCGGCAGGCAGTCCGGGGCTCAGGGCAGGTGGGAGGGATTGCACTCTCCTTTCACTTTCTCAGGCCACCAAACCTGACACCTGGGGCCAGAACTACACTTCCCACCAAGCAGCGAGGCAGTAGGAAGAAGGGGGCACTGAGGGCCGAAAAGGAAAACCAGAAGAAAGAGAAAACATTACCTGCTGACCAGCAGAGGTGAGGGAGCGAGACAGATAAGCGACAGGTGAACCAGGAAGGAGAGGGCTGCGGGATTTCGGAGGGAGGGCATCCTCGGGGTGGACGCTGCCTGTGTGTCCTTGCAAGGCTTTTGGCTAAATTAAAGGGAGCTTTCGTGGAAACCCTGAGGATTCCAGAGGGCGAGGGGAGACGTGGAGATAAAGTCTCAGCTCAAGTTGCTGTGAAAAGACCAAGACACCGGAAGTGGAATGGCTGTCTTTAGTTGAAAAGTCAGAGAAGAAAAAAAATGGTTTGATTGTGTCTGTTGTCTGCTGGATTATCTATCTACCCCTTTGTGATTTCAGAGAGGTCCAAGAAAGGTATGGGATCCTTCTTTGTCGTCTTAAGGCCCTGGGTTTTTGCATGCAGATTGGACATTTGAGTGAGTTTTACCTTGCGCGATGAGACAGACTGCCCTTTTCTATGACTTTAGAGAAAACCAGAGTAAAACGGGGAAGTGGAGAAGGATGCCACAAGGCTGGAGCAATTTGCAGCACATTAAATGTAATCATTAAATGGGATCAGGTTTCAGTTACTTTTAGAGCTATCGGATGAGGAGACAATCACACTCTCTCTCGAAAAACAGTTAAAGAGGCTGGGACAGAAAATAAAGAAAATTAAAAATTTTTTTAAAAAAAAGAGGCTGGGGAGGCCAGGTGTGGTGGCTCATGCCTGTAATCCCAGCACTTTGGGAGGCTGAGGAGGGCAGATCATGAGGTCAGGAGATCAAGACCATCCTGGCCAACACGATGAAACCCCATCTCTAATGAAATAAAAAAATTAGCCGGGTGTGGTAGCACATGCCTGTAGTCCCAGCTACTCGGGAGGCTGAGGCAGGGGGAATTGCTTGAACCCGGGAGGCAGAGATTGCAGTGAGCCAAGATGATGCCACTGCAATCCAGCCTGGTGACGGAGCGAGACTCCGTCCCTCCCCCGAAAAAAACCAGGCGGGGGATATTCTCTTCCAGGGATATTTTTACTGCTTCAAGTATCTGATGGACTACCATGAGGAACAGGAATGCGATGTGTTTTGGCAGAGTCAGGACAGCACTGAGCTAGACAGATGGAAACCTCATGGAGGGAGGTGTCAATCCCACAGAAGTGAGAGCTGCCCAGTGCAAAATGGAAATTTTTCAGAACATAGTCAGTTCCTTGTGATCAAAGATATTTAAGCATGGGTGGATATTTAAGCTAGGGATGCTGATGGTGGGAGTGAAGTTTCAGGTAGATGACTTGGTCGATTGGTGTTTTCCAAATCTGGCTCATCATCAGAATCACCTGGGGAAGAGACAGTGAGAAAGAGGAACGAGAGAGAGGTTTTGGTTTTGTGTTTTTAACTTTAAAATATGTTTAGTGCACCAGACACAGTTGCTCATGCCTATAATCCCAGCAGTTTGGGAGGCTGAGGCAGAAGGATCACTTGATGCCAGGAGTTTGAAAGTGGTCTGGGCAACATAATGAGAACCTTCCTGTCTCTATTAAAATAATAAGAAATAGGCCAGGTACAGTGGCTCACACCTGTAATCCCAGCAATTTGGGAGACCGAGGCAGGCGGATCACTTGAGGTCAGGAGTTCAAGATCAGCCTGGCCAACATGGTGAAACCCTGTCTCTACTAAAAATACAAAAATTAGCTGGATGTGGTGGCAAGTGCCTGTAATCCCAGCTACTTGGGAGGCTGAGCCAACGAATTGCTTAAACCCAGGAGGCAGAGGTTGCAGTGAGCTGAGATGGCACCATTGCACTCCAGCCTCAGCAACAGAGCAAGACTCCATCTCAAAAAAAAAAAAAAAAAATAGCCAGCCATGGTGACATGCACCTGTAATCCCAGCTACTCAGGAGGCTAAGGGAGGAGAATCCCTTGAACACAGGAAGTAGAGTTTGCAGTGAGCCAAGGTTTCGACACTATACTCCAGCCTGGGTGACAGAGCAAGACAGTCTCAAAAAAAAAAAAAAAAGAAAAAGAAAAGAAAAGAAAAGAGGCCGGGCGCGGTGGCTCACGCCTGTAATCCCAGCACTTTGGGAGGCCGAGGCGGGTGAATCACAAGGTCAAGAGATCGAGACCATCCTGGTCAACATGGTGAAACCCCGTCTCTACTAAAAATACAAAAAATTAGCTGGGCATGGTGGCTCGTGCCTGTAATCCCAGCTACTCAGGAGGCTGAGGCAGGAGAATTGCCTGAACCCAGGAGGCGGAGGTTGCAGTGAGCCAAGATCGCGCCATTGCACTCCAGCCTGGGTAACAAGAGCGAAACTCCGTCTCAAAAAAAAAAAAAAAAAAGAAAAGAAAAGAAAAGAAAAGAAAAAAACACTAAGAAATAATTTTTGAAAGAACAAGATAAAATATGTTTAGTAAGTCTGGGATGAGCTCCAAAAATACATATTTTTCAATGATTTCCCAGATAATTCTGATAATCAGTTGGTTTGTGAAACACTGTCATTAGAAACCTTCATTTTCCGGCCAGGCGCAGTGAGTGGCTCATGCCCGCAATCCCAGCACTTTGGGAGGCCGAGGTGGGCAGATCACCTGAGGTAAAGAGTTCGAGACCTGCCTGGCCAACATGGTGAAACCCTGTCTCTACTAAAACTACAAAAATTAGTCGGGCATGGTGGCAGGCGCCTGTAATCCCAGCTACTTGGGAGATTGAGGCAAGAGAATTACTTGAACCCCAGAGGTGGAGGTTGCAGTGAGCTGAAACTGCACCATTACACTCCAGCCTGGGCAAGAATAGTGAAACTCCATCTCAAAAAAAAAAAGAGGCCACGCATGGTGGCTCATGCCTGTAATCCCAGCACTTTGGGAGGCCTAGGTGGGCAGATCACGAGGTCAACAGATTGAGACCATCCTGGCCAACATGGTGAAATCCCATCTCTACTAAAAATACAAAATTAAGGCTGGGCGCTGTGGTTCATGCCTGTAAACCCAGTACTTTGGAAGGCCTTGGTCAGGAGTTCAAGATCAGCCAGACCAATATGGTGAAACCCTGTCTCTACTAAAAAATACAAAAATTAGCCAGATGTGGTGGTGCACGCCTGTAGTCCCAGCTACTCAGGAGGCTGAAGTAGGAGAATCACTAGAACCCGGGAGATGGAGGTTGCAGTGAGCCAAGATCGTGCCACTGCACCCCAGCCTAGAGATAGAGCAAAGCGAGACTCGGATCTTAAAAAAAAAAAAAAAAAAAAAAAAAAGGCCGGGCGCGGTGGCTCACACCTGTAATCCCAGCACTTTGGGAGGCCGAGGCGGGTGGATCACAAGGTCAAGAGATCGAGACCATCCTGGTCAACATGGTGAAACCCCGTCTCTACTAAAAAAAAAAATACAAAACATTAGCTGGGCATGGTGGCGCGTGCCTGTAATCCCAGCTACTCAGGAGGCTGAGGCAAGAGAATTGCCTGAACCCAGAAGGCAGAGGTTGCGGTGAGCCAAGATCGCGCCATTGCACTCCAGCCTGGATAACAAGAGCCAAACTCTGTCTCAAAAAAAAAAAAAAAAGTATATATATATTTTTCAATGATACTCCCAGATAATTCTGATAATCAATTAGTTTGTGAAACGCTGTCATTAGAACCCTTTTTTTTGTTTTTTTGTTGTTTTTTTATGAGACGGAGTTTCGGTCTTGTTGCCCAGGCTAGAATGTAGTGGTACAATCTTGACTCACCGAAACCTCCTCCTCCCAGGTTCAAGTGACTTTCCTGCCTCAGCCTCCCGTGTAGCTGGGATTACAGGCATGCGCCACCACATCTGGCTAATTTTGTGTTTTTAGTAGAGACAGAATTTCTCCATGTTGGTCAGGCTGGTCTTAAACTCCTGACCTCAGGTGATCTACCCACCTCGGCCTCCCAAAGTGCTGGGATTACAGGTGTGAGCCACTGTGCCTGGCCTGGACAGTCAGTCTTACAACAGTTGGGAGTCTTTCTCCCCAGGTGAAATTGACACTGGTAGGACCTCCAATGGCAGGTGAGTCACTGCTACGGGAATTTTCTCTGCCATCCTCCTGCTCTGTGGGCACTCTGATAGAGCATGTGGTGCCTCATCTCCAGGTCTAGGATACAACAGTACTTTTTTTTTTTTTTGAGATTGAGTCTTGCTCTGTCGCCAGGCTGGAGTATAGTGGTTCGATCTCAGCTCACTGCAACCTCCACCTCCCGCTTCAAGCAATTCTCCTGCCTCAGCCTCCCGAGTAGCTGGGACTACAAGTGCATGCCATGATGCCCGGCTAACTTTTTGTATTTTAGTAGAGTCAGGGTTTCACCATGTTGGCCAGGATGGTCTCAATCTCCTGACCTTGTGATTCGACTGCCTCAGCCTCCCAAAGTGTTGGGATTACAGGCGAGAGCCTCCGCACCCGGCCACATCAGTGCTTTTATCTGATGGTGTTGACTATCCACTAGATCCACCAGAGCATGGCAATAGAACCTCTTTATTCTAAGGGGACACCTAAAGTAAAGTCACACACGTAGGGCAGATGTCAGCTTATGCAGGCAACTCCTCTGTGCCTGACTAGCTAGCATCATTAGCATCATCCTCTCACAAGGATGTAGCTCTGTGAAGGTAATGACCTCCCTCTGTCTTGTCGTCTACTGGATCCCCAGTTTCTGGTGCTGAATTCCATCCTTTCTTCCTAGCTCTGTTCTAGGTGGCAAGAGCCATGCAGTTCTCCAGCTCAGCCTGGGCAGCAGATGAGAACTTTGACTATTTGTTCAAGATTATCCTCATTGGGGATTCCAATGTGGGGAAGACGTGTGTGGTGCAGCATTTCAAGTCTGGAGTCTACACCGAGACACAGCAGAACACAATTGGAGTGGACTTTACCGTGCGCTCTCTTGATATCGATGGCAAGAAAGTGAAGGTCAGAAGGCACTGGGACAGGACTGGTTCCACCTTTTTCAGCCAGAATTCCCAACACAAAGCACATGTCTGAGAAATAAAAGATTTCAGTACAGGCTGGGCGTGGGGGCTCACGCCTGTAATCCTAGCACTTTGGGAGGCCAAGGTGGGTGAATTGCCTGAGCTCAGGAGTTCAAGAACAGCCTGGGCAACACAGTGAAACCCCATCTCTACTAATATACAAAAATTAGCCGGGCGTGGTGATGTCCCAGCTACTCGGGAGGCTGAGGAGGGAAAATCACTTGAACCACAGTGAATATTGCACCACTGCACTCCAGCCTGCACAACAGAGCAAAACTCCGCCCCAAAACAAAACAAAAAAAGATTTCAGTACAAAACATGAAATCATAGAAATAAGGATTTGGGGCCGGGCGCCGTGGCTCATGCCTGTAATCCCAGCACTTTGGGAGGCCGAGTCGGGTGGATCACGAGGTCAAGAGATCGAGACCATCCTGGTCAACATGGTGAAACCCCGTCTCTACTAAAAATACAAAAAATTAGCTGGGCATGGTGGCGCGTGCCTGTAATCCCAGCTACTCGGGAGGCTGAGGCAGGAGAATTGCCTGAACCCAGGAGGCGGAGGTTGCAGTGAGCTGAGATGGTGCCATTGCACTCCAGCCTGGGTAACAAGAGCCAAACTCTGTCTCAAAAAAAAAAAAAAAAAAAAAGAAAGAAGGATTTGGAAAAACATAGAAGTATTAAATGATACATGAACCCAGAAGCCTTAAAGGAAAATACTGCTGAATTTAACTATAAAGGTCAAATTTATACATTTCTATATAACTACATAAAGGTCAAGTTTGCTTTTTTTGCGGGGGAGGAAGACAGGGTTTTTGTTTCTGTTTTTGTTTTGGGTTGTTGCTGTTGTTGTTGTTATTGTTGTTGTTGTTGAGACAGAGTCTCACTCTGTCACCCAGGCTGGAGTGCAGTGGCACAATCTTGGCTCACTTCAGCCTCTGCCTCCTAGGTTCAAGCAATTCTCCTGCCTCAGCCTCCTGAGTGGCTCAGACTACAGGCACATACCACCATGCTCAGCTAATTTTTTGTATTTTTAGTAGAGACGGGGTTTCACTGTGTTAGCCAGGATGGTCTGGTTCTCCTGACCTCATGATCCACCCGCCTTGGCCTCCCAAAGTGCTGGGATTACAGGCAGGAGCTCCAGCACCCAGCCTGTTTTTGTTTTTTTTTTGAGACAGTCTCACTCCATCACCCAGGCTGGAGTGCAATAGCGCAATTTCAGCTCATTGCAATTTCCGCCTCCTGGGCTCAAGCAATTCTCATGCCTCAGCACCACCATGCCTGGCTAATTTTTTTTAAGGGAAGGGGAAGGGAGGAAGTAGAGGAAGGTGAGGAAGAGGAGGGAGGAGGAGAAGGAGGAGGAGGAAGGACTAATTTTTGTATTTTTAGTAGAGAGGGGGTTTCATTATGTTGGCCAGACTCGTCTTGAACTCCTGACCTCAAGTGATCCACCTGCCTCTACCTCCCAAAGTGCTGGGATTACAGGTGTGAGCCACTGTGCCTGGCCTGAGACACGGTCTTGCTCTGTCACCCAGACTGGAGTGCAGTGGCACAATCATAGCTCACTCCAGCCTCTGTCTCCCCGGCTCAAGCGATCCTCTCACCTCAGCCCTGAATAGCTGGCATCACAGGTCCACCTCACCATGCCCCACTCATTTTTAAAAATTTTTTGTAGAGACAGGGTTTCCCTGTGTTGCTCAGGCTAGTCTCAAACTCCCGGGCTCAAACAATCCTTCCACCTCACCTTCCCAAAGTGCTGGGATTACAGGTATACATCACCACGCCTGGCCTTAAAAGATCAAATTTTCTAGTGGCCGGGTGAGGTGGCTCACATCTGTAATCCCAGCACTTTGGGAGGCCGAGGCACGCGAATCATCTGAGGTCAGGACTTCAAGACCAGCCTGACCAATATGGTGAAATCCTGTCTCTAAAAAAAAAGAATAGATTCCTGGGTCCCACCCCAGATCTACTGGGTCTGAGTATTTAGAAGTGAGAGCAGGAAACTGTTTTTAAGATAAAGTAGGTGAGGGAGTTCCTATTACCTGTGGGGTCCCCTGATTTGGACTCTCATTCCTGCCTTTCTCCAGATGCAGGTGTGGGACACAGCTGGCCAGGAGCGCTTCCGCACCATCACCCAAAGCTATTACCGCAGTGCCCACGCGGCCATCATCGCCTATGACCTCACCCGGTGGTCCACGTTTGAGTCCATCCCTCACTGGATTCACGAGATAGAGAAATATGGAGCTGCAAACGTGGTCATTATGCTGATTGGTATGGCATGTTTGAAGTTTTTAACTTTTGTTTACTCTCCTCTGAGGATGCTCAGCTCTGACTGTTTCTAAGGGCAGTGGAAAAGGAAATCCTAAAAGTGCACGTTACGGATGGGGCCTCAGAAAGTGCCTTTAGGCTGGATGCCACCACACCCAGCTCATTTTTTTGAATTTTTTGTAAAGATGGGGTTTTGCCATGTTGCTCAGGCTGGTCTTGAACTTCTGTGCTCAAGTGATCTTCCTGCCTGGTCCTCCAAAAGTGCTGGGATTACAGGCATGAGCCACTGTGTCTGGCCCCTTATTTTTATTTTTGACAATCTCTACTGCAGAGTGAACAAGTGACTTTGGTTTGTTTTCTTTTCTTTTTTTTTTTTGAGACAGAGTCTTTTTTTTTTTTTTTTTTTTTTTTTGAGATGGAGCTTCGCTCTTGTTACCCAGGCTGGAGTGCAATGGCGCGATCTCGGCTCACCGCAACCTCCGCCTCCTGGGTTCAAGCAATTCTCCTGCCTCAGCCTCCTGAGTAGCTGGGATTACAGGCACGCGCCACCATGCCCAGCTAATTTTTTGTATCTTTAGTAGAGACGGGGTTTCACCGTGTTGACCAGGATGGTCTTGATCTCTTGACCTCGTGATCCACCCGCCTCAGCCTCCCAAAGTGCTGGGATTACAGGCTTGAGCCACCATGCCCGGCGTGAGACAGAGTCTTACTCTGTCGCCCAGGCTGGAGTGCAGTGGCGTGATCTTGGCTCACTGCAACCTCCACCTCCCAGGTTCAAGCAGTTCTCCTGCCTCAGCCTACTGTTGGTCCATGCATACTATGGAATACTACTCAGCAATAAAGACTACTAGTGATATGCAGAAAACAAACTACTGATTTATACAACAACTTGGATGGATCTCAAAGGAATTATGCTGAATGAAAAAAGCCAATCTCAAAAGGTTACATACATGGATCCATTTATATAATATTCTGGAACTATAATAGATTGCTGGTTAGCAGGGGCTGAGGATCAGGGGTGGTGACAGTCAGAAGGAATAGCATGAAAAACAGCTTTGGCCGGACGCAGTGGCTCACACCTATAATCCCAGCACTTTGGGAGGCCGAGGCGGTGGATCACAAAGTCAAGAGATCGAGACCATCCTGGTCAACATGGTGAAACCCCGTCTCTACTAAAAATACAAAAATTAGCTGGGCATGGTGGTGCACACCTATAGTCCCAGCTACTCGGGAGGCTGAGGCAGGAGAATTGCTTGAACCCAGGAGGCAGAGGTTGTGGTGAGCCAAGATCATGCCACTGCACTCCAGCCTGGGTAACAAGAGCGAAACTCCGTCTCAAAAAAAAAAAAAAAAAGAAAGAAAGAAAGAGAGCTTTGTGGGTATGGAGGTGTTCAGTGCTTAGACTATGATGGTGATTATAGGAATCTACGCATGTGATCAAATTGTGTATAATTATAAACATACACATAAATAACTACCTAGGACATTTATTAATTTCATGACAAGAAATCTTTTTTTTCTTTTGAGATGGAATTTTGCACTTGTTGCCCAGGCTGGAGTGCAGTGGCACGATCTTGCCTCACTGCAACCTCCACCTCCTGGGTTCAAGCAATTCTCCTGCCTCAGCCTCCTGAGTAGCTAGGACTACAGACATGTACCACCACACCCAGCTAATTCTATATTTTTAGTAGAGATGGGGTTTCTCCATGTTGGCTAGTCTGGTTGAACTCTTGACCTCAGGTGATCCACCCACCTCAGCTTCCCAAAGTGCAAAGATTACAGGCGTGAGCCACCAAGCCCAGACTCATGACAAGAAATCTGATTAAAGTCTGTGGATTGTACGAGTGTCAATTTCCTGGTATTGATGATATGCTATAGTTATACAAGATATTACCATTGGGGGAAACTGGGTGAAGGGTACAGTGGCTCTCTCTCTCTCTCTTTCTCTCTCTACATATGTGTGTCTGTGTGTGTACATATATGTGTTTATATATGTATATGTGTATATATGTCTGTGTGTATGAGTATATATATATATATATATATATATATATATGTATATATAATGACTTCCCATATATCTGTAATTAAACATGTTTTATGGAAGAAGGGAAAAGTGGGAAAAAAAATACCTACAGAGGCTCCTGTGGGGAAAATAATGAAAACCAAGTTGAGAAACACTAGTCTAGTTTGTCTTAATTACTGCAGTTTTGTAATAAATCTTGATGTGTGGTAGAACAAATCCTGTGGGAAAGTAATTTTATCTTTAGATTCCTGCCTTGGGGAAATCAAAGGCAAACTTTTATTGCATGTAAATTACAGTTTTCTTAGTAAGTTCTTTAGGCTGGGTGTGATGGCTCATGTCTATAATCCCAGCACTTTGGGAGGCCAAAACTGGCAGATCACTTGAGGCCAGGAGTTCAAGACTAGGCTGGCCAACATGGTGAAACCCTGTCTCTACTAAAAATACAAAAATTAGCCAGGCATGGTGACATAGGCCTATAATCCCAGCTACTTGGAAGGCTAAGGCATGAGAATCGTTTGAACTTGGGAGGCGGAGGTAGCAGTGAGCCAAGATTGCACCACTGTGCTCTAACATAGGTGACAGAGCAAGACTCCATCTCAAAAAAAAAAAAAACAAAACAAAGTCTTCCATTATGCACCTCCAATACAGCAGATTCTGATCACAGTCTACTCAGCTAACCAAGCCCCATCTCACACAGCATCCAACACTCTGCTGCTTAGGGGTAGGGGGAGAGTAAAAAGAGGAGCAAGGGCTGGGCGAGGTGGCTCACACCTATAATCCCAGCACTTTGGGAGGCCAAGGCAGGTAGATCACCAATGGTTAAGAGTTCGAGACCAGTCTGGCTGACATGACAAAACCCTATCTCTACTAAAAATACAAAATTAGCTGAGCGTAGTGCCAGCTGCCTGTAATCCCAGCTACTCAGGAGGCTGAGGCAGGAGAATCGCTTGAACCTGGGAGGTGGAAGTTGCAGTGAGCCAAGATCCCACCACTGCACTCCAGACTGAACAACAAGAACAAAACTCTGTCTCAAAAAAAAAAAAGAGAAGCAAAATTTGAAGGAAGGAGAGGGAAGTCTTAGTGGCAACACTCTGGCACAGGCTGTACCTTGTCATACTTGCAGGAAGACGAATGACAGTCCCTCCAAAGAATGGAGGGGTTTCCCTGTCCCCATTCATCAGTGGTTTCATTTCAGCAAATGTGCCCTTAACCGCTGGGCACGGTGGCTCACACCTGTAATCCCAGGACTTTGGGAGGCCAAGACAGGCTGATCACCTGAGGTCAGGAGTTCCAGACCAGCCTGGCCAACATGGCAAAACCCCATCTCTACTAAAAACACAAAACTAGCCAGGCGTGGGGGCAGGTGCCTATAATTCCAGATACTCGGGAGGCTGAGGCAGGAGAATCGCTTGAACTCAGGAGGTGGAGGTTGCAGTGAGCCAAGATCCTACCACTGCACTCCAGACTGAACAACAAGAACAAAACTCTGTCTTAAAAAAAAAAAAAAAAAAAGGTGGGGGAACAATAACTTTCCTCAATTACCATTTGCAAATGAATGCGGGCATGCCTATCAAAGAACTAAAATGTTATTTGTAAAGTTAATTTTGGGCCAGGCTCAGTGGCTCACACCTGTAATCCCAGCACTTTGGGAGGCCAAAGCGGGTGGATCACGAGGTCAAGAGATCAAGACCATCTTGGCCAACATGGTGAAACCCCGTCTCTACTAAAAATACAAAAAACTAGCCGGGCATGGTGGCACATGCCTGTAATCCCAACTACTTGAGTGACTGAGGCAGGAGAACCGCTTAAACCCAGGAGTTGGAGGTTGTGGTGAGCCAAGATTGCGCCACTGCACTCCAGCCTGGGCAACAAGAGCAAAACTCCATCTCAAAAAAAAAAAAAAAAAAAGTTCATTTTGAAAAAAACTAGATTAAGTTATGCAATGAAATATCTGCTTATCTTTTCCTTCCAGGAAATAAATGTGACCTCTGGGAAAAGCGGCACGTCCTGTTCGAGGATGCCTGCACCCTGGCTGAGAAGTACGGCCTCCTGGCTGTTTTGGAGACATCTGCCAAGGAGTCCAAGAACATAGACGAAGTCTTTGTGCTTATGGCCAAGGAGCTGATTGCCCGCAACAGCCTGCACCACTATGGGGAAAGTGCCCTGAACAGCCTCCCACTGGACTCCAGCCCAGTTCTTATGGCCCAGGGTCCAAGTGAAAAGACCCACTGCACTTGCTAAGATGTTTGCAAAGCCAGCCGCGCCCACCAAAGAGGCAGTCTCTGAAACCAAAGGTAGCCAGGATACCCTCATGTTGCCCCAGTGGCACTTCAGACCCCAGCGTGAACTTGCCGCCCACCGCAATCCTCCTCGTCTGGATGGGCCACACTGCTGCCTTGACTCAGACCACAGGTCGTAGCTGCTGACTCTCAGGAAAAGCAACCCCATCGTTTTCATCGACTCTTGAGTCCTGGAGAAACCAGGACTTCAGAACGAAGTGTATTCTTCTCTCCTTTCAATTTCTGTCTCCCCAGCGCTTCCGCTGCTTTCTACTGAATTTTGTTTCTTGCTCAAAGAAGAGGGTAGTGAAGGAGAGGAGGGAGGAGAAACAGCAAGAGAGGGAAGAGGCTGTTCGGAACATTCTGGAATAGTTTGAAACCACTCAGGCAGGAAGAATGGAACGAAAGCCCGCAATGAGAAACCAGAATGCTGCTATCATTTTGCTCCTGATATTCACAGCTCAGGTCTTCACTCTGAGGAGCGAAGCCTTTTTTTTTTTTTTTTTTTTTTTTTTTTTTGAGACGGAGTTTCGCTCTTGTTACCCAGGTTGGAGTGCAATGGCTCGATCTCGGCTCACCACAACCTCCGCCTCCTGGGTTCAGGCAATTCTCCTGCCTCAGCCTCCTGAGTAGCTGGGATCACAGGCACGTGCCACCATGCCCAGCTAATTTTTTGTATTTTTAGTAGAGACGGGGTTTCACCATGTTGACCAGGATGGTCTCGATCTGTTGACCTCGTGATCCACCCACCTCAGCCTCCCAAAGTGCTGGGATTACAGGCTTGAGCCACCGCGCCCAGCTGGAGCGAAGCCTTTTAGCAGAAATACCGGAAGTACCATCTTGCCAAATGGTCAGGAACTGTCTGATGGAGATGGAAATGGAACTCCCTCTATCATAGCAGAGCTGACTTGGCCACCTTCCTGGGATAGGGCAGACACCTGCAATTTTTCTCTTTTTTTGAGACAGGGTCATATTCTGTCACCCAGGCTGGAGTACTAGTGTGGGATCTTGGCTCACTGCAGCCTTCGCCTCCTGGATTCAAGAGATTCTCCCACCTCAGTCTCCCAAGTGGCTGGGACTACACACACACGCCACCACACCTGGCTAGTTTTGTATGTTTTGTAGGGACAAGTTTTCACCATGTTGCTCAGGCTGATCTTGAACTCCTAAGCTCAAGTGCTCTGCCTGCCTTGGCTTCCCAAAGTGCTTGGGATTGCAGGCGTAAGCCACCATGCCTGGCCCAATTTCTTTCTAGAACTCCACATCATCTGCCAGATCAGAGAAGTCATTTTTTTTTTTTTTTTTTTTTTTTTTTTGAGACAGAGTTTCGCTCTTGTTACCCAGGTTGGAATGCAATGGCGCCATCTCGGCTCACTGCAACCTCCGCCTCCTGGGTTCAGGCAATTCTCCTGCCTCAGCCTCCTGAGTAGCCAGGATTACAGGCACACGCCACCATGCCCAGCTAATTTTTTGTATTTTTAGTAGAGACGGAGTTTCACCATGTTGACCAGGATGGTCTCGATCTCTCGACCTCGTGATCCACCCGACTCGGCCTCCCAAAGTGCTAGGATTACAAGCTTGAGCCACCGTACCCGGCCTTCAGAGAAGTCATTTTTGAATTGAAATTAAATAGGTTGATAGATGAATATCAAGCCAGTGTTGTACCATCCCGTCTGTAAGATGTGGCCTGAGAGCAGCTGGTGCCTTCTGGGATGGAGTGACCCCAGTTTTCAGAACTAAACACATCGTAGGAGGCTGGAAGGCACTAGGCACCCCCTCATCTCCAGGACAGTGTTAGGGGACATCAGGGCAAGCAGCAGGAGCAGGCCAGGGAGCCCCTCTAGGGTCCCGGGGAGCTGTGGACACTCACCTGGGGCTTCCAGAAAACAAACACCACTTATGACTGCAGCTGCCATTTACTGAGCTGCTTCTCAGGGTGAGAAGTTGTGTGAGGTCTGTGGGAAGTGAATGGCCCCCTTGGTTTGTGATACCAGTGGAGGGGAAAAGGGGTACCAGCCACATTCTGCTGCTCCTTTTTTTTTTTTTTTTTGAGATTGGGTCCTCTGTCGCCCAGGCTGGAGTGCAATGAAGCTATCTTGGCTCCCTGCAACCTCTGCCTCCTGGGTTCAAGCGATTCTCCTGCCTCAGCCGCCTGAGTAGCTGGGATTACAAATGTACACCACTAAACCCAGCTAATTTTTGTATTTGTAGTAGAGACAGCATTTCACCGTGTTGGTCAGGCTCTTCTCGACCTCCTGATCTCAGGTGATCCACCCGCTTCGACCTCCCAAAGTGCTGGGATTATAGGCTTGAGCCACTGCGCCCAGCCTGCTGCTCCTCTTAACACCCTTGGACTTCCCAGCATCCTCTCAGCCAGGAGTCACTTTCAGTCTTCCCTGCTCCACTCTGTTTCCTTTTTTTTTTTTTTTTTTGAGATGGAGTTTCACTCTTGTTGCCCAAGCTAGAGTGCAATGGCGCGATCTCAGCTCACTGCAACCTCCGCCTCCTGGGTTCAGGCAATTCTCCTGCCTCAGCCTCCCAAGTTGCAGGGATTACAGGCATGCACCACCATGCCTGGCTCATTTTGTATTTTTTTTTTTTTTTTTTTTTTTGAGACGGAGTTTCGCTCCTGTTACCCAGGCTGGAGTGCAATGGCGCGATCTCGGCTCACCGCAACCTCCGCCTCCTGGGCTCAGGCAATTCTCCTGCCTCAGCCTTCTGAGTAGCTGGGATTACAGGCACGTGCCACCATGCCCAGCTAATTTTTGTATTTTTAATAGAGACGGGGTTTCACCATGTTGACCAGGATGGTCTTGATCTCTTGACCTCGTGATCCACCCGCCTCGGCCTCCCAAAGTGCTGGGATTACAGGCTTGAGCCACCGCGCCCGGCCTACTTTTTTTTTTTTTAATAGAGATGCGGTGTCACCATTTTGGCCATGCTGGTCTCAAACTCCTGACCTCAGGTGATCCACCCATCTCGGACTCCCAAAGTGCTGGGATTACAGGCATGAGCCACCAGGCCTGGCCAGGAAGCACTCTAAATTTTTCTCAGTTAAGGTCCCTTTTAGAAACTTCTTGCCTTGCGACAGAATCTTCCTTCCTTATTGATTAGTCTATTCTTGAGGCATGGATCCATCCATCTGTTCAGTGTGTGTCCCAGTCCCAGGATACAGGCTCAGGGTGAGCACCGTTGAAGATGAACGGCCTGCTGAGCTCCCATGGGGCTAGCCCTGTCCATCTGAGCACTGGCCATATAGCCTCCCATTCTGTCCCCTTCTCCTCTACCCGCAGTGAGGTCTGAGGGCAGAGACCAATGGCACCTGGGGAACTAGCCTTCCCTGAGACATCTGTATTTTGATGGGAATCGACACAAATTTACAGATAAAGTCGTAAGATTGGGACGGTCGCCAGGACTTCAGCTTATAGGATCACAGAAAAAGAAAGGCATTGGCTGGGCGCGGTGGCTCAAGCCTGTAATCCTAGCACTTTGGGAGGCCGAGGCGGGTGGATCACGAGGTCAGGAGATCGAGACTGTCCTGGCCAGCATGGTGAAACCCCGTCTCTACTAAAAATACAAAAAAATTAGCTGGGCATGGTGGCACGTGCCTGTAATCCCAGCTACTCAGGAGGCTGAGGCAGGAGAATTGCCTGAACCCAGGAGGCGGAGGTTGCGGTGAGCCGAGATGGCTCCATTGCACTCCAGCCTGGGTGACAAGAGCAAAACTCCATCTCAAAAAAAAAAAAAGAAAAGAAAAGAAAGGCATCTGGGGAGAAGGTGGCCTTCTGGGAACCCCTGAGACCACCACTGGGGTACCCGTTGTCCTAGTGTGAGACATTGCCACTGGGAGATTGTTTTTCTATGCACAGGCATCCTCCACTCCAGGCCTCCCAGACAGGTGTTGAGGGGATGAAGATGGCTGCTTGGCACCAGGTAGAGGAAGGGCTCTAGGGCTGGCTTTGGGAGGAGAGAGCGCCACACAAAGACACCAGCTGCCTGAGCAGCTCCCCCAAATAAGCCGCAGCCCAGAGGAGTCACGTGAGTACCCCATTTTTGCTGGAGGGTCTGCCCTTCCTCACAGAACCCTCCTCCTCTCCTCACTTTGTTCACAAAGGGCAAGCTCTGAGACCAGCTGCCAAATCCTGGCTTCCGTGGTCCAGTTAAGAATTTTCATTAGGCCAGGCATGATGGCCCACACCTGTAATCCCAGCACTATGAGAAGCAGAAGCAGGTGGATCACCTGAGGTCAGGAGTTCGAGACCGGCCTGGCTAACATGGTGAGACCCTGTCTTTACTAAAAATACAAAAAATTAGCTGACTATGGTGGCATACAACTGTCATCCCAGCTACTCCAGAGGCCGAGGCAGGAGAATTGTTTGAACCTGGGAGGAGGAGGTTGCAGTGAGCTGACACTGTGCCACTGCACTCCAGCCTCGGCAATAAGGGAGACTCCATCTCAAAAACAACAAAAAAAAGGCCGGGCGCGGTGGCTCAAGCCTGTAATCCCAGCACTTTGGGAGGCCGAGGCGGGTGGATCACGAGGTCAAGAGATCGAGACCATCCTGGTCAATATGGTGAAACCCCGTCTCTACTAAAAAAAAAAAAAAAAAAAAAAAAAAAATTAGCTGGGCATGGTGGCACATGCCTGTAATCCCAGCTACTCAGGAGGCTGAGGCAGGAGAATTGCCTGAACCCAGGAGGCGGAGGTTGAGGTGAGCCGAGATCGCGCCATTGCACTCCAGCCTGGGTAACAAGAGCGAAACTCTGTCTCAAAAAAAAAAAAAAAAAAAAAAGAATTTGTATTATGTGGGGCTACCTGAGGTCAGGAGTTCAAGACCAGCCTGGGCAACACGGTGAAACCCTGCCTCTATCAAAATAGAAAAAAAAAGTAGCCAGGTGTGGCAGTGTGCACCTCTAATCCCAAATACTCGGGAGGCTGAAGCAGGAGGATTGCTTGAACCCAGGAAGTAGAGGTTGCAGTGAGCCAAGATCAAGCCACTGCACTCGAGCCTGGGTAATAGAGCAAGACTCTATCTCAAAAAAGAATTTGCACTGAAGTTCTGAGACGTACTGAAGCCATATCCACGGGTCCTTCCTCAGTCAATCAACTGTCTCCACCAAGACAACTTCTACCAGAAAGACCAGCTTCCTAAGTCTGTCACCAGTAGAGCGGCCTCCTGTGTTTGGGTGCAGGTACTTGGCAGCATGTGTGCATGTGTCCAGCTTCATCCACTTAGCCAACAAGCCA